AACAACATAGTCCTTACTACACCCTTCCCATGATGTTTGTCAACCTGGCCTTATCAACTCTCATTAACATGGTCCTTACTATACCCTTCACATGATGTTTGTCAACCTGGCCTTACAACCCACTCAACAACATAGTCCTTACTACACCCTTCCCATGATGTTTGTCAACCTGGCCTTATCAACTCTCAGTAACATGGTCCTTACTATACCCTTCACATGATGTTTGTCAACCTGACCTTACCAACTCTCAGTAACATGGTCCTTACTACACCCTTCACATGATGTTTGTCAACCTGACCTAACCAACTCCCAGTAACATGGTCCTTACTCTACCCTCTACATGATATTTGTCAACCTGACCTTACCAGCCACTCAATAACGTGGTGCTCTAACTCAATCAATCTATGAAATTACCAGTTGTTGAACTGGTATATCACTGATAAGTTACTCTAATTATGACTTGACCAAAAGGTAGATTGTGAATGACTCAGAGATCTAGATGATGGTGAGCATATTTTCAAATACTCTGATACAGCAGAGTAAGAAGAGTAGAATATCTTGTTTACAGTGACCACACCTGACAACATCTATGTTTCAACTGTCTTGCTTACAGTTACCACACCTAACAACATCTATGTTTCAACTGTCTTGTTCACAGTGACCACACCTAACAACATCTATGTTTCAACTGTCTTGCTTACAGTTACCACACCTAACAACATCTATGTTTCAACTGTTTTGCTTATATGACCACACCTAACAACATGTATGTTTCAACTGTCTTGTTTACAGTGACCACATCTAACATCATGTATGTTTCAACTGTCTTGCTTACAGTTACCACACCTAACAACATGTATGTTTTAACTGTCTTGCTTACAGTGACAAAATGTATGTTTCAGTTATCTTGTTTATAGCAACCACACCTTACAAAATGTATGATTCAAATATATTTTCTACAATGACCACCCCTTATGGGGTGTATGTTTCAACTACCCTGTTTATAGAGTATCAATTTAAAATTGCTTGCTTATATGGACCACACATTACTAAATATCTGTTTAAACTATTTTGTTTACAGGAATTGCATGTTAAAGTTTCTGCTTCAACTGCCTTACCTTTAAAAGGACTCTTTACAAAGTATTCAAATGGCCTTGTTTTTGGAGACTACACCTAGTACAGAAACTATTTAAACTGCTTTATTTTGGAAATCATGTATTACAGAGTATCTGTTTAATCTGCCTTGTCTCCAAATACCTGTTTAAATTATCTTACTTTTAGAGACCACATATACACTGTACTTGTTTGAAATGGCTCACGTAGTATCTATTCCTATAAAAGTATCTCTGTGGGATATCTCTTTTGAAAGACATAAATCAATTTCAACATTTTATTTCATTTGAATTTTACCATGTACTTACAGACAGTAATGTGTCCTTTCCAACTCTCTTTGCCTCTACTCTATGCCAGCTTCCATTGTTGTAAACATTTGGTGACTTAAGTACCACAAGATTTCCATCCAGCATGAGTTTGGAGAACAGACGGCCCTCTTGCAGCTCCAAGGCAAAAAAGTTGTTCTGTTAAAAATAAAGATATTGTTTTATAATTTGTTCTCAATCATATTTAATTTTAAGTTAAGCTATAATTAATAAATACATACAGAAACATGTACAATTTATTACTTCCTTAACAGATATAAGAATTAAAACCTGAAATCAAAAGTAATGCTTCGTTCCATTTATCAGAACAATTGAAAACACTGATAACTTCAAAAAGATTATTTAACATATTTTGTTTACAAAAGAAAAAACGTTATCTATGCCATCACAAAACTCTGTCAATATTTAACTCTATTCCTCTATTGTTTGTGTTATAGTTGTTATAACAAATATAACAATAACATCTAACGACTGCAAAATGATCCATCTGAAACTACTGAAATCAAAAACGTTTTTTGGAACAATTGATTTAATCTTTCTTAGTTTTGAATTTAAACTCAAGACGTTTTTGTAAAAACATTACCTATTTTGAGCCTATGCAAAATGTGTCAAATTAATAATAAATATATTAAAAAACAACAAAAATAGATAAAGGAAAATATGCCACAAAAAAATAGATAAGTAAAAATATGCTACAAAAAAATAGATAAATAAAAATATGCCACAAAAAAACAAAAATAGATATAGCAAAATATGCCACAAAAACCAAAATACAGATAAGGGAAAATATACCACAAAAAGAAATTGATAAAGGTAAATATGCTCCAAAGAAAACAAAATTGATAAAGGAAATGTGCCAAAAAAATAGTTAAAGGGAAATATGTCATAAAAAATAGATAAAAAATATGCTACAAAAAAATATATATCAAAATATGCCACAAATATATATATATATATTATATATAAAGGAAAATATGACACAAAAGAAAAAAATAGATAAAGGAAAATATGCCACAAAAAAATATATATCAAAATATGCCACAAATATATATATATATATATATTATATATTATATATAAAGGAAAATATGCCACAAAAGAAAAGAATAGATAAAGGAAAATATGCCACAAAAAATAGATATAGCAAAATATGCCACAAAAAATATATAGCAAAATATGCCACAAATATATATATATATATAAAGGAAAATACATCACAAAAAAATAGATAAAGGAAAATATGCCACAAAAAACAAAAATAAATAAAGGAAAATATGTCACAAAAAAAAAACAACGGAAAGTGGCTTCAAAATGGTGAGAAACAGAAAAAATTAATTAATTAACTGAAAACATTACACTTTGCTCAGGAGAATAAAAACAATATTCATAAAATATTGATTTACAATGGTTGAAAAGTTTAACTTTGATCAGTTTTTTACATCATATTTAATGTTTCAATAAAATAACTCACTCCATTTTCTACAAGGAACAGTAAACCTTCTTCAGCATAGGTTTTAAACTCTAAGATTACTATGATTTCTCGGGCAAAATTGTGCCGTTCACCAGGCATAATAGCATAGCCTCTACCATCAAATCTCAGCCCATTAGAGGTAACGAGCGTAACAAGCTTGTCTCTCCCCACACAACCTTCAAAGTTATTTTGGGCTTTTACAAAGTTCCAGAGACCTACTGGTGTTTCTCCAAAATCTACTTCTTCTATACATCCCGTAAATGTTCTGGTCTGAACATCTTTCTGAATCTAAAACACATAAAATATATTATAAACTATACAACTGAACAGTAGTTTGTGTGATATTACATCACCGTAAACCTGATACTGATTTGTTGGATGTTTTAACAGTTTAAAATAATTTCTTCTTACATATAAAAATACAGTATCCATCAATACAGCTTATGTAGGCCTCGTCTACTAATAACTTTAGCTGCTTCAAATTTTTAATGGCTTTCGAGTACCAAAAGGTCATCACTAAAAACCACAAAAATTTCATCAAACAAATAACACTCATTAAAATGTAAACAAAAAATGTTAAATCTATGATGCACAAACACAGATATATCTAAAAAACAAGGCTTAATGTATTATTGTAAAACTACATGATGCATTCTTAGCAACTGGATGTCCCGAGATTATGTTAGTATTCAGTAACTTACCTTAGCAGCTTCTGGTATACCTCCAATATATAACTTGGATGCATTCTCATTCAAGTTAAAGACACTGAAAGTCCCTGGAATATGTATTTCTGACACATCATTTTTAATACCTTCCTCCCCTGCATCTGTTTGGACAGTCAGAGTTCCTATCTTTCCCGTTCTAAGCAAAGAATAGATATTTTTGTGCATGTAAACAATGCTAAAATAAAGTAATTTCAAAAATTCTCTTTTAACTCTCAAATTACTGACTTATTTTGACACTATTCATTATCACTAGAGTCCACAGATTGCATCACATTTTTCCATATAAAAGGTGTTGGGGTTCATACAGACCCCAGCAGTAATTATCTAGGTGGGAGGGAGTCAATATGATTAAGTGCAATATTGATGATATTTTTGTTTAAAAAAGTTTTGTGTTATTAGAGACTCTGTAACCAATGAAGTCATGGACTAAAACAAAAATAGTTTTAAAAAATGTGCTTCAAAGCCATTGGAGTCCATATTCTATCAGTAATTCTAGGTTTAACTTGATTTTAAGCAAATTTTCTTATTAACTTTTCATTAAATTAGGCATGGTGTTTATATAGTGTAGTTTATTTTCCTAAGAACATTTGTAATTTGAAAACAAACATCAGAATTAAACTTTTTTAACTTTGAAATGATTAAGTATAAATGACAAAAAACACACAATGTTGTTTCTCCTTATACTTCATAACATTTACTTTAAATATCAGACTTTATATCTTTCAATCAAAAAAATGGACTAATTACATTCCAGAAAATAACGATTTTATTCAAATCTCACATTTCAGTTTATGCCTTTCTTAAGAGTTAGAGAATCATATAAAACCAGATATAATGGATTGGATGACTTTTGTACTGTTAAAAATGTAATACATAAAATAAAATGTACACAGTGTGATGATAAATACATTGGTGAAACCAGTCGTACATGAACATCTTAAGGAACACATCTGTGCCACCGTGAACTTGGATTATAAAGAGGCCATGACTGAACACTTTCTAATGAAACATGATACGTTAGATAAACCACCATTTAAGACTACGCTATACCAAAATGTAATAGTTTCACTGACCATAAATTCACAGTGTCTCTCTCTTGATTCCATCTTATAAACCTAAAATAAACAGAAATAATTCTTGGCCTTTGTAATTATTATTTGTGTGTGTTTGATAGCTTGAGATTTTCAGTCAATTAATCATTCTAATTCTATTTAACATGCATGCGATAATACATGACATTACCACTACTTCTTGGTTATCAGTCTGTATGTGATGCTGTAACCCTTAACAAAGGCATAAGCCAAAACTTGGAGTTTCAATAAAACTGTTCTTTTTTTATTAGGTCTGATTAGTCATTTTTCATAAGTATGTATTTATGTCCTAATGCACACTGTAAAGCTTTTCTTAATATGATCGGCTAATCAATGAAATTCACAAACATTGGGCTGAAGCGAAATTATTTTTATAGTGTTAGTAATTTATTTTATAATTTTTTGTAACATATAAGCTATATCACCAGTGTAAAGTCAAGAATTCTCCGAGTGTTTTAGGGGAGAAGTTTATATATGGAGAAAAATAACTTTTAGTAGAAATTTTGTCTGTATTCAGTAAAGTAAATACTTAAAACCTACCATCAAACCAATCCACAAAACTTTTTATTACCTAGTACCTACAATCATTCACCAAACTTTTCCATATTTAGATAACTATTACTCAGTAGCTACTATTAAGGTAATCCACCAAACTTTTCCATATTTAGATAATTATTATTCAGTAGCTACTATTAAGGTAATCCATCAAACTTTTCCATATTTAGATAATCATTATTCAGTAGTTACTATTAAGGTAATCCACCAAACTTTTCCATATTTAGATAATTATTACTCAGTAGTTACTATTAAGGTAATCCACCAAACTTTTCCATATTTAGATAATTATTATTCAGTAGTTACTATTAAGGTAATCCATCAAACTTTTCCATATTTAGATAACTATTACTCAGTAGCTACTATTAAGGTAATCCACCAAACTTTTCCATATTTAGATAACTATTACTCAGTAGCTACTATTAAGGTAATCCACCAAACTTTTCCATATTTAGATAACTATTACTCAGTAGCTACTATTAAGGTAATCCACCAAACTTTTCCATATTTAGATAATTATTATTCAGTAGTTACTATTAAGGTAATCCACCAAACTTTTCCATATTTAGATAATTATTACTCAGTAGCTACTATTAAGGTAATCCACCAAACTTTTCCATAATTACATAATTATTTTACAAATAATGGGCAGGTATTTAGCTTTTACTGTGAGATTATCTATCACATTAAATGATCTCTTAGACTTAGACAATATCATATGGATGACTTCTCTCTGTTCCACACTTCACTGTCCACTGGCTTTTTGGGTTAGTAATACAACTCAATACATTACTACACTTTGAATAAAACAATTATAACATAATATAATGTTTTAATACAACATGGGACCTATTGGTCCATCTTGGCTGTCCCATTCTCTACACTAAACTAAAACTATTAATAAATAAATTAAAAAAAAACACCTTAAAGGCAGCCTTTATCATTTATATAGTTATCACTCTTAAACTCACT